TTTTCTGAATAGTTTTTTCATTTAAGTTGGAATTACCGCTTTGTTCTTTAGTTAATAATGGGGGAAAGTTAAGCAAGCCATGTTCCAAATAGCACAAACATTTCATGCTCTCAACAAGGCAGTAGTCTTATTGCAAGGGTTATATAACCAAGGACCTCCACAAATTTCTCCTACCCAAAGATCTTTCCCATATATTAATTCTTTTCAAACATTAGATGGACAAACATTTGAATTTAATTACAAATCTAGACTTCATGGTTTAGTATTTTATGTTGAAAGGAGTAATGATTACAATTGTTATTGTACACTTCCAAAGGATTTACTTGTAAAGTTTGTACAGGATTATGGCCAGTTATTTAGTTGTTATAGTATTTCAGGAGTAGTTGTCATGGAGTACATAAAAGATGGTTATTCCAACTCAGCAGAAGAATATAATGAACCATCTTCTGTGGATGCAATTAAGAAGTCTGTAAAAGAAACAGTTGAAAAAATGCATGCAAAGGGTTTGTACATGGTGACTTAATACTATAGCAAGGTCAATCTCCATTGGATCATCTGGTACTAGTACTGGTCGATCATCTTCTATATCACCAATTTTGCATAATCAATTAATTCCTGATAGGGAGCTTTTTGAGAAATAAATCAATTAATGAATTTGGGTTAGCAGTCGTTTACCCTAGTGGTGATTGTTATAAGGTAGAGGTGTCTGAAAAGTTAGTAAGTTGAAAATGCTTGACTTGTAGAGCAGTCATAGTTGTATGTTCATTATTATTACGTCTAAATGTTTAACTATTTCCTTTTATTTATTAGAATGACAGGGTAACGAAGATAATGTTGACATAAAACATGACCATGTAGATGTTCTGCTATCACGAGAAACCTTTTATATAGACACTCTACTATGCAAGAACTTTTATTATTCTATTAGAGGTACCCTTATTTGTATTCACAAGTGTTTGAAACTCGCATAGGGAGTGAGAAGTGCACATAATTAAAATAGGTCACTTGAGGCATCCCCCAGTCGACGAACACACCTATGTGAAAAGATAAATCACTCTCCCAAGAACCCATTTCATTCCTGACTGTAACAACATGGTTGAAAACTTTGTCTGGTTTTGTTGCAGTCTGCCCCAGTTACAAAAGTTTTTGCAAATTTAATATTTATTACTACAGCACAACCATTGCTCTGAGTAATATGTGATATACTAATACCTCAGTTTAAAGCTAAAAAGTTGTAGTTTTTATTAGTATTAATTAAAATGAGATTTGTTTACCATTTTTTTAATAATTGCTTCATTATCATATCTCTTTTGCATTGACTTCACCAAATTTCTTAAGACATCATCAGGAATGGCATTCCATTCCTCAACCATAAAACGCTCTAATTCACCACAGTTTTGGGGCAACCTTATTCTTAACAATAGCCCAGAAGTTTTCAATGGGGTTGAGGTCAGGGCTGTTACTTGGCCAGTCAATAACTTCAGGAACATTTTCCTGAAGGAATGATTTGGCTAGGCAGCTGGTATGTTTTGGATTGTTATCTTGTTGGAGCCACCATTTATTTATTATTCCCCCATCATTTGATAAATCTCTGGGATATGTTTTTGAAGTATTTCTACATAGAATGCAGCATCCATATTTCAACAAATTGGTTTTACCACCTATATAAAATCCACCCATGCAAGAATTTTTGTGCCTTTATGCCAGCATTTTATGGTGTTACAAGAGAGCTAAAAGGCTGTCTCATCCATAAATAGTGGTTTCTTCCAGTTATTGTTAAGGTGCTTTCTGGCCTATTCAATGCATCTTTTCTTATGGTCTGGGGTAAGTATTGGTGTTGTGACCGGAAGACTTTTTTTATAGCTAATACTTTTCAGATGCCTTGATATGATGCTTTGATACTGTTTTTTGACAGTTGAGTTGCCAATGTTCTGAGAGAGTTTGAAGAATTGTATTGAATTTGTTGACCTAGTATTCTTGAACTGCTTGCAGTAATATAATATATTGTTCAAAGCAATATATTCATGAGATTATGAAGCTCTTTGGCAGCATGCACTCCTTGGTTGCAAAAATGTAATAAAACTTGACAGTGTACAGTGTTGTTCTTTCTCTGATACTGGAGATATGTTTAATTTGAATTGTTTATAATACAGTTTATGTTTATTATGCATTTTCACATGATACAAAATTGGAAGAGCTACATGTATTTTGTTATGCCAATTTTTTTGCAAACTGTATATTACTCATGATCCTATCATAATAGTGTTCAACAGCATCAAAAAAGCAACACCATTCAGATTTTGTGTTACTCAATACACACTCACTGGTTAAAGTCTAAAAAATCAGCATAAATTAAGCTTTAATTCATTATCTGATTTGGTTCTGATTGGTACGCATCAGCAAGATTTCCGCTACAATTCAACCACAATTCAGAATTTTCTGATTTGATATGGAATGGCGTCATTCGCTGCCACTAATTTATAAATCAGAAAGCTGATTTGTAGGTGAGTGGCAGCGATTTAAATGGAATTTGGTAGACAAATGTATGATGAGTCTAGTTTTAATTTATGGCAAATTGCTGGTAAATTATGACCTAATTCCGACAATTTAAATCATAATTCTGATAAATTTATTTAACTCTGCTAACGTTTTACCTTAATGCCAGCATGTCAAGATTCAATTCTTGGGCAGATTTAGTTTTATCAGTGGTAATTCTGGTAGAATTATACGCAATTTTCACTTTATTTTCTGGTAAATTTATTATAATTTCAATTGAATCAACTATAATTCTAGTCACATCAATCATATTCTAGTAAAATTAACTTGTTATAGAGAGTTGACTTATAAACTCTGCTGAAAGCATAAAATTTGCTCAAATTAATTAATTCTTTTCATTAAATGTGGGGGCTGATGCTGAGATCGGCTGATGCTGAGGTCCGCATGACCGATTTTCAATTACCGTTATTTCTGGTTATATACTTATGCGATTAAATGTATAGATTTGGTCTACTGATAAATTAAGTTTGTAATAATTAAGTGTGCATGAGGTGATTGCTATATTCCTAGCAATAACAGGATGATAATGAAGTTCTGAATTTCATATACTTAACTCAGTAAGTCCATATTAATACAGTCAAACCTCAATAAACCGAACCCCGATAAACTGAACCCCGATAAACCGAAAACCCCCCGTTAGACCGAACCTTTTTTGAAATTCGCATTTAGCCTAGCCTATTAAAATTACCCCGATAATCCGAAATTACTAAACCTCCATAAACCGTAAACCGAAGATTTTCTGAAACAAATATTAATATACCCCAATAATCCGACTAAAATGACGTAACATTTACCTTTGTAAACGGAATATTGACCACAACCCGATAAACCGCATATTATATTTGTCTATAAAATTCGCTTTGCTTGACTTGAGTTAAATCAATGTAAAAAAAATACGTCAATCAATCTTTGACTCCAAGGTTCAATCTCAAATAAGCAGTTATTTCACAAACTGTTAATGTAATAAGCTTATGTCATAACAAATAAAGACTAATGTTATCGGCAGTTCGAGCACTTACTCCGTTTATCCGAACGTATGGTTTCCCTGAATATACACTTCGGTTATAGAGCGACCCTGCTAATCCGAAGAAAAATTGCTGTCACCGCCATCTTCGGTTTATCGAGATTTGACTGTATGTACTGCCTAAATAAATATGAACGGCAGACTTGAGGATAAGGTGTAAATATAATAATACTAGGAGATAAACACTTACTTCTGAGAACCATTTACTCTTCGTCCATCAGTAAGTGCGTCCATGTTATCGTTGTCAAATAAAAAACATGTATGCATGGTATTACATTCAACTGTGAAAGAAAATGCATGTGAGAAAGAAGTGCATTGATTCAGCGATAACAGTTCCTCAGATAATGTTTACCTTACGGTAACGGTCCTTGATATAATTTAGTTCTTATAAGCTGTGGTCGGAAGCGATACAAACGTAACGATTCAGTGACAAACCAAATAAACAAATGGAATTGACACAAACAACAAAAAATAATTGTGCGATAGTTATTCACCATCAGGTCTGTGTGAGAAGATATTTTAATCCTTGTAACGGAGACGCTGGAAAAAGAGGAAGAAAGCGTTTAGACATCTGTGTTAGAGTACAATATTTAGATAATACTTATAAGTAGCCAGCTTTAAAACAACCGAACAACTGAACAAACACCTCACCAACGTCGTTCGACTCTTGTAGCGAAACATGAACTCAAATAGTACATCTATAGAAAACTTATTCATAATACCAATAGAAACGTATACAAACAAAAGAGCATACATAATACTGTAATAATAAGCAACAAAAGCAACCGTTAATGGGTATTACCGTCAGATACTGTGTCGGAGTGTAATCCACGTCGCGAAAAAAAAGTGAAGAAACCCGACGTAAACAACAGTTGTGATCGGCCATGTGATACAATCCTGTGATCTTATTGGTGCATAATGTTAACCTTCTGATTCGTTTATATTAATATCATTATCATTATTGTCTTCGGTGATGAGATTCGCACTTACATGGTTCTCTTCTATGCTATAATCTTTCATGTTTCAGTGTATTAAAATTTAACTGCCCAAGATGTTTGCCATTCTTCTTCACACACGCCATCGATTATTTCGGCGTAGTAACACAAGACTTTCACATAAAAAATTTCACTAACATTAATGGTAACGTCAATCGAGAAAACTTGGGTGTCAATTTATCAGAAACTGGCACAAACGGTGGGTTTGGTTTTCTTACTGATATAATGCAGGATTCAGATTAGATTGAAATATTCTATTTAACATTTTCAATGAATGTGCCATGTGCAAAATGCAGGGAGATCGTCATCAATCGTAAAATTCCGTCATACGGGCGATAATTGTTTATTCAGCCCAATACTATTGTAACCCAATTTATAATACTAATATAATTTAAATTATGAACTTTTCCTATTATGAATTTCTTTTATCGCCACGCACGTATTAACTTCGATGCTTGAACAATTGCTGTTAAAGCATGAAATAACGAGATCGTGAGATGGTACATATACCAATAATGTTTCTCAATTTATTATCGACATAATCGACACCAGTGACAATATGTAATTATACAGTCATTATATTGGCAAATACACCATGCTGGTGTTTCTTTCGGAACCTCAGTACGTTCTTCCTCCTCACTCAGTATACGTCTCCTCTTATGACTTGACTTCCGCACTTCAAAGCCGTGTTTATCGAGAATGTCTCGAAGGAGATTCTTCAACTGAAAAAAAAATTCAATAAGAGTTTAGATAATTGTTCGAATGCTCCCAAAGGCTTACCTTTTCAGAACGCCAGCTCAAATCATAAACGATTATTTCGTTGGATGAATGCTCGAACGAACTGTTGGGTGAGCGTTCAGGTGAACGTTCCGGGGAGTGGTAGCGGCGATCCTGGACAATTTGCTCAAGCTCGTTAACATCATAGTTGCTTATGAGGCGGCTTTTTTCATTTACCAGGTCAGAAAGTGCTAATAATCTCCTCCGTCGTTTC